GACAAAGTGCCAGATCTTTTCATATTATGATATAGACTGGACGAACTGGGCCAGTGTCAACTCTATATAATTATTATTATGGTATGACCCTTTTATTGAAAAAAAAAACTTATATAAAAAAAAGCTATCTTAATTCTTATCTTGTCCCTGCTAGAGCTCAGGGTTCGATCTTCATCTCGAAGTGCAGTTGATTTTTACGTACATAGCTGTTTTAATTACATAAAACATAGAATGATCCCTTGCCTGTCAGGCATCCGCATGCCGTTTTCGAAGGAATATTATGTATTCCTAATATTTATGGCGACTTTAGTTTTTGGATGGAAATTAATTCTGATTTTTTTTTACCGGGACTGCTCCCGAAGAGCTTACTTTTTTAGAAATATAGTTTAGAACAGCAAAAGGATCTGTATCGTGTGAACTTCTTCATCTAACCTCCGAAATGATTCGTCCTTATCCAAAAAGTCTATGTACAAAGTCGTACCAAGGTAGGATCATGGAATGTTGAAAACACGAGGAAAACGGGATCAAACTCCCTACCATTGGGTTGATAGGCGAACACTATTCCTTTTGACCTGTTGAGTTGCCTTGTAGTCACCCCCCCCCTAAAAATAAAATTTAAAAACCCATTATGTGATGTATTTGTAGTGTTCTGAAACGACAACTAGACAGTATAAGGGAGACTTGCAGATCCTATAATGCCTATCACTCACACCCAACTGTTCATTACGCGCAGTATTTTATCAGTTTATCCCGGAACGATCGAGACTTGACGAGCAGTATACGAAATTAGTGACTCCGTGGCTTTCCCTTCAAAGTATTCTGACAGTGATGAGAGTAAAGCGAAGCCGATCGTGACATTTAGAGGCAATATTTGGTTTTTACCAGTGTTGCCAACGGGGTGCCCCACGAATTTGCTGGTGACACATCCAAACAAATAATGTTTCAACACGATACTGCGTTAAAGAATATTTATTTAATTCAGACAGGACTGGGTTAAAGTATCTACATTTAATTTTGCTATGAATCTAGGTTTGGTTATTTAACATCTAGAACACATTGCTAACAGTTTGCTCTATCTGGACTGAATACAGCCGAGGTTTGTAAGTTCACTCACCTAAGTTTTGAAACTTATAATAGTGGAGTTTCCATTGTTTGCCTTAATTACAACCACGAACACACAGAAGCTGTCTCCAGCTATGAATATTACTATAATTAACAAAATATAACTTAGAAATAAGTACACGTACCGTAACATGTAACCCTGCACACACACACACACACACACACACACACACACACACACACACACACACACGCGCGCGCGCGCGCGCGCGCGGGGGACATACACACGTGCACGCACAAGCACACACCCTCATTGCTATATTCATGCTTTCAAACACACGGATTCTCGTTAGTACAAATGGACATAAGAAACTAAAAATCGTATGGAAAAATCACCACTGTTTTGTTCTAATTCCTTGCTCTTTGGTGGTAAAGACGTGAGAGCAACCTAAGCCCTACCCAAATTTTGGTCCACCCACCGCCACTGCCAAAAACACCCAGTTGTAGATTCTAAACAGGGCGCCATATGCTCCTTTGCTGAGCATGATACCAACTGGGCTTATGGAGACTCCTGAGTTAGTAACATTGCAATACCTTATTCAAATGAGATTGAAAATTTACTGGATATTGTGTCATATTCTTTAAAAGCTTTCAATAAAGCTCCACCTCCAGGGAAATGAAACGTCCGTCAACAACTTGAACTGCTATCTACTGCCGTGCTTACGGTGGGGAGCAGCAGAGGATGGTTGTAGGCAAAAGGCATCTGAGTCCCACAATCCAACGTTTAGGACTATGTACATCACGCTGTTTAAAGCCAAGTCACACTACAGGCACAAGCAAAAAAGTTAATGATAACATGAATATTATGATAATCTTTATTATCCAGAGCCTGGATCTACGAAATGTTAAGCAACCTTCGGTAAATGAAAATTTTGACCCTTCTCCACCCCTACCACTTTCTTTTAAGGACATCTAGAAATCTTCCCTTTGTCGTTATAAGCTGCTTTTCTGTTATAAACTTCTGAAGGTGAATTTTAGAACTACCAGAAAAAAATGAGGCATGGGGTAGCATGAATAATAAATAGTACTATCAAAAACTAGGACAACTTTCTACTTTTTGGTACTATCACAATACTATTAATAGAAATAATACGATCCGGCCAATGGAATCGCTGTTTCAGAACTATGAATACCGCTACTCTGTGGCGACTGGGTGTGTTCACTTTGCTCTGTGCTTGGCTTCTGATCTGTAACAAAGAAAGATATAGAAGGTCATTTTTACCATCATCTATCAAAATGCTTCCATCTTAACCATCTTCTATAAGTATACTTACGACCTTAGAGCATGCATCAAAATAACATTCAGTGTGAATCTAGCTTACGATTATTACTGTTTATATTGCTGCTCATTTATATTATGCCTGTGATTGTAAGCCTACGTGTGTGTGCATGTGTGTGTGTGTGTTTGAGAGTGTGTGTGTGTGTGTGTGTG